CCAACTCAAAAAAAAAAAAAAAAGAAAGTAGTGGCAAACTGCAGAGGGGGAGGGGAGGTGGGATTGACAGTAGTCGATATCTGCCTGGGGAAGGGAGCACACACTTCATCAATAAGGGTACCTGCACAATGAATATTTGTATACGTAATCCTGAATTGTACCCCACAATTTTAAAATAAAAATTAAAAGAGGAAAAAAACAAACAAATCAAAAAAAAACATCAATCCACCAAGTTTTCTTATTAAAACTTAATTTTAATCTTTAACTTTAAAGAGAATAACTCATATAATGAAACCCACTCAAAATCACTCTTTAAAAATAGAAAAATTAAAATTAAATTGACCCAGTCATCAGAGTTCTTCATTGTAAGAAGCTACTGGACCCTAACTCAGAGATTTATCTCAGGGTCCAAGGTGCAGAATGCTACTATTAAAGACCCCCTCAGATATATGCAAAGATAAAGTCCCCTTCTACCTATTGCAAATTATAGGACAGAGAAAGGGGGTATGAGGAGACAGGAGAGAGATGTCGGAGTCACCCGCAGGTTTTTCCCAAACTACACAGATCCCTCTGTCCCCTACTCCAATCCAAAACTTGGGGGACTTGGCTCTCTGGCAAAATAAACCAAGCCAAAACCACTGCCACAGAAAGCCACTTAAACTGAAGGCATTAATCATGTCACTCTGGTACGTTGAATGTCACTGCTCCAGGACAGCAAGGTCATGACATTTTGGACTAATGCTCTAAAAATTACAGGGTGAGACCCACTGTATGCCCTGCTCATCACATGGTTACAACCTCTGTTTACAAGGCTGGAGAAAGACAACCGTTTCTAATCCTTTCTAACATTTTCTGGATTATTTTTATCCAAGGTAATATAACTAGGAAACTACCTCTGTTCTGACAATAAATCTAACAAATTTCTTCTAGTACTTACTTTTCTTTCTGACGGGGGAATTCTGATTGATCTGCCTGTCTGGTTAGCTATGTCTAAGTATGGTGTATTTTCCGGATCCACCACCATCTCAGCTGCAATAAAACCAAAAGGACCTCCATTAATTCAACATGAAACAGCAGTGACAGTGACAACATTAAAAATGTTAGACTGGGCCAGGCTTGGTGGCTCAACCTGTAATCCCAGTGGACTTCTTGAGTCTGCGGATTCGAGACCAGCCTGGGCAACTTGGCAAGACCTCATCTCTACAATAAATAGAAAATTAGCCGGGCGCGGTAGCATGCACCTATAGTTCCAACTACTTGGAAGGCTGAAGCGAAGGATCGCTGGAGCCCAGCAGGTCAACGCTGGGATGGCTATGAGCGTGCCATGGCACACTACCCTGGGTGACAGAGTGAGACTCCAACTCAAAAAAAAAAAAAAATGTTAGACTGTTGAGGAAAGAGCCTCTGAGAGATGTGATCCCTCCACCTGTGTGCCTCACTGCCTCTAAGTATCCAAGTGGGTGACAAGCCCACACTCCATGTACCTCTCTCTGCCAGTATCTCAAGTCCTCTCTTGGTCCTCTGAATCTGTTTCTCTTTCAGTTCAGCCTCATTTTGTTCCTCTTCCTCTATCTGGAAGTTTTTCCTCACATCCTCTTCAGACTGTTTTAGTTCAAGCACCATCGCTTTTACATTGTGAGTCACTCCTTGTTCTTGAAGGGTCTTCCCTGTAAAAGTCAGAATTGCACATTATAAAAAGAGCCATTAAATTTACCAGGTAATAGTCCATTTTCTATGTTCAGTGAATTCTTAAACCTGCATTAACACTTGCAGACCACCATACCATATAATTGGTAAGGATATGCTTACAGGGGCAACCCCTTTGGGTCCCCTCCCACTGTGGGAGCTTCTCTGTCCTCTCAATAAATCCTGCTTTAAAAAAATGTGTACAGATGGGCTAGGTGGCTCAGCCTGTAATCCCGCGCTTTGGGAGGCTGAGGTGAGTGGATTGCCTGAGTCCATGGGTTTGAGACCCACCTGGGCAACTTGGCGAGACCTCATCTTTACAATAAATCAAAAAATTAGCCAGGTGTGGTAGCGCGCATCTGTAGTTCCAGCTACTTGAAAGGATGAGGCAGAAGGATCGCCAGAGCCCAATAGGTTGAGGCTGCGGTGGCCGGGAGCGGCCACTGCACTCCAGTCTGAGCGACAGAGTGAGACTTCAACTCAAAAAAAAAAAAAAAAAAAGATGCTTACATTTGGTCGTGTAACTACATTACTGTTAAGCAGCAGTTAAAATCAGCCAGTGATAACAGAATCAACTAAATTCACCTTTTCATTATTCTCAGACCAAACGGAAGCAACAAATGTTTGAGAATCTACTACAGTGAAAACACTGTGCTAGGCAAAACAAAAGAAAATTGAGGAAGCAGAATATATACACTTTCCGACCCTCTAATTGGAGAAATAATCAACCCAATACACAGCAACTGGCAAGAGGCCACGGTGCAGCAGTATGTTGTGAGAGGTCATCTACTGTCTCAGTTAAAAGCAGAGACCATGAGCTCCATTCCTTTTTAACTCTTGTGGCCCTGAGTAAATTTCCTGTCTTCTAGGAGTCAGTTGCCTCATATATAAAGCAGAAATAAAGATAAGGGCAGAAATCAATGAAACAATAAGAGAATAGAACTGTAACTGGCTATGAAAAGATTAACCCAACACACAAACCTAGCAAAAATTATGTCAAAGATGCAAATAAAATTAAAAAGGGTTAAGCACAAATGCAAAGAGATACTAAAATAACAAAATAATATTATGAGTTATAAACACAAATATATAAACACATTTCTGGAAAATTGTAGCTGGATTCTTTTCTTCTTTTGAGACACATGATGACCATTCCAACATTTATACACAAAATGCAGATCCACCAAGGGTTAAGTCATCTTGATAAAAAGGAGGCATGAGGGGGACTTGCCTTACTAGATTTTAGGACTACAACAAAACTGAAGTATGAAAACACTATAGGTGAGTAGAAAGAACAGAAAGTACAAAAACTGAGCCCTAATAAAAGGGGCATCACTAATCAGTGAGGAAAAGGCAGGCTGTTTAGTAGGTGATATAGGAAGAAAAATAAAGTCAGATTCTTAGCCTTTATACAGAAAGGGGGATTCTGGACAGAGAAAAAAACCTCTTATAGATTAAGTTAATATACAAGAACATAGACTATCCCTGTGGGTCTAGGGTTGGAGAAAGAACTTCAACAAAACAAAAACCATAAGTGATGAACCTAGTAACACCAAAATCAAGGATTTCTGACCAATGAAGGACATCATGAACACAACAGATGACAGTAAAAAGATATCTGTGACATCTGAAATAGACAATGGGAAATGGCTAGATGGTGATGGAAAGAAAGCCCAGGGTAGGCTGTGAAGGACTATATTACATCAAGCTAAGATATGGGAATTTAATTCTTGAGACCACAGGAACACCCCGAAAACCAATTAGACTATAATCTTGCCTGAACTGCTGCAATAGCTAACTGGTATCCACAAGTTCATTCATGCTTCCTTCAAAGCCATTCCCCAGCTGGGTGTGGTGGCTCATTCCTATAATCCCAGCATGTTGGGAGGCCAAGGCTGGAGAACTGCTTAAGGACAAGAGTTTGAGACCAGCCTAGGCAACATAGAGAGATCTCATCTCTACAAAAATAAAAAAAATTTAAAAATTAGCTGGGCATGGTTGCACATGCCTGGAGTCTGAACTTCTCAGGAGGCCGAAGCAAAAGGATCACCTGAGCTAAGGATGTCGAGGCTGCTGTGAGCCATGTTGCTGCACTGTAGCCTGAGCAGCAGAGTGAGACTCTGACTCAAAAATAAACATATAAATAAATCCATGCAGCCAAAGTGATCTTTAAAACACAAATAGGCTAGGCATGGTGGCTCACGCCTATAATTCCAACACTTTGGGAGGCTGAGGTGAGAGGACTGCCTGAGCCCATGGGTTTGAGACCTCATCTCTATAATAAAAGTCAAAAAATCAGCCAGGCGTGGTGGCATGTACCTGTAGTTCTGGCTACTTGGAAGGCTGGGGTGGAAGGATCACTGGAGCCCAGCAGGTCGACGCTGGGGTGGCTGTGAGTGTGCCACTGCATTCCAGCCTGGGTGACAGAGTGAGACTCCAACTCAAAAAAATAAATAAATCCATGCCTCTACTGAGGCAAAGTGATCTTTAAAACACAAATAAGCTGGGCACAGCGGTTCACGCCTATAATCCTAGCACTTTGGGAGGTTGAGGTAAGAGGATTGCCTGAGCCCAGGGGTTCGAGACCAGTCTAGACAACTTTGGTGAGACCTCGTCTCTACAATAAATCAAAAAATTAGCAGTGTGGTGGTGCACGCCTATGGTTCCAGCTACTTGGAAGGCTGAGGTGGAAGAATAACCTGAGCCCAGTAGGTCGAGGCTGTGGTAGTCGTGAGCGTGCCACTGCACTCCAGCCTGGGCGATAGAGACTCCAGCTCAAAAAAAAAAAAATATATATATATAATTGTCTCTTACTCCCCAGTATAAACGCCTTCCCATTTTGAGAAATACTCTCATACTGAATAAGGTTCATCCAGCCCAGGGTTTCCCAACAGTTGCACTACTGACATCTTGGGTGGAGGGTAAGTCCTTGCTATGGCGGCTGTTTTGTGCACTGTATGTTTAACAGCATCCCTAGCCCCCACCCACTAAATGACAGTAGCACTCCCCCATCACCAAGTTATGACTAACAAAAAGTCTCCAGACAATGCCAAATGTCCCCTGGGTGGCAGAATCACCCCTACTTGAGAACCGATGCTGTAATCTTCACAGCATGGCTTCTGCCTGGCCCTCCTCTCACTTTCTACACTCAGTCACCCTGGACCTTTCTCAGTTCCTCAAATTCACACCATGGTGCTCAGACATGAGCCTACCGGTCTTGAAACACCCTGCCTCAGCCTTCCCACTGTTATCATGCAGCTTCTGCTCTTCTCTCTCAGGGAGAATTTGCTGGAAGCCCCATCTGATGCTCAGCACACCTAGACTTCCATTCTGTGACATTTCATCTGAGCTGTAATGAGTGTCTTTCTTCCCTACTAGCACACAGTAGACAATATTTATTGGAAAGGCTGGTTTCTGTTTTACATTTTTATTTTAGTAAACATCCAAATAGGTTTTGGATTATAAATGTAATAAAACTATATATTTTTGAAAGGAAGAGAGAAAACAATGCAGAGTCATTATTTCTATACTAGCTTGATTGAAAAATTCAGCATACTTTGCCATACATACCAAGTTGAAGCTGCTTCTTATTTATGACAATTTTGATGTAATTTTCTTGAAATCCAAAGGTTTCAGCTATTCTGTAAAATAAAACCAATAAAAACCATAGGAAAACAAATTTCTTATTATCTATTAAAAAGATTTTAATCATGATAGCTATTTTACACATTTTACATAGAAACACCTAGGATTTCAACTAATTGACTCACCAACATCACTTCATAATAAAATCAGCTTACTAGAGGGCTATTTAAAACTGTGTAAGAGATTGGGCTCGGTGGCTCAGGCTGTAATCCCAGCACTCTGGGAGGACAAGGTGAGTGGATTGCCTGAGCCCGCGGGTTCGAGACCTGCCTGGGCAACTTGACGAGACCTCATCTCTACAATAAATCAAAAATTAGCCAGGCATGGTAGCATGTGCCTGTAGTTCCAGCTACTTGGAAGGCTGAGGCAGAAGGATCACCAGAGCCCAGCAGATCAAGGCTGCAGTGGCCGGGAGCGGCCACTGCACTCCAGTCTGAGTGACAGAGTGAGACTCCCACTCAAAAAAAATAAATAAATAAAAATAAAACTGTGTAAGAGACAAGGTACTTTTTAAATGCTTCACTGCTTGTTTCCCCATGGAGAGGAGACCACTGTGCTGTAGCTCATTTGAACAGGAGACCCTAGCTGCATGTCAGGAGAAAACCCACCCCCATCCCTTCATGATCTCCTTGGAAAATGAATGATCCCTCCGGAATCCACCTCTAACAGCTCCAATGTGAAAAAAGAGAGAGAGGGAAATTAGCTGAAGAAATATACTGACTGAGTAGCCCAGGAAGTGCTCAAAATGTCATTTAAAAATATACAAGCAGGCCGGGCGTGGTGACTCATGCCTATAATCCCAGCACTTTGGGAGGTCAAGATAAGAGGATTGCCTGAACCCATGGGTTTAAAACCAGCCTGTGCAACTTGGCAAGACCTCATCTCTACAATAAATCAAAGAATTAGCTGGGCATGGTGGCGCTTGCCCGTAGTTCCAGCTACTTGGAAGGCTGAGATGGAAGGATCTCCTGAGCCCAACAGGTCAATGCTGGGGTGGCCATGAATGTGCCACTGCACTCCAGACAGGGTGACAGATTGAGACTCCAACTCAAAGAAAAAAAAAGGAAAAGAAAAAAAAAAAATACACACACACACACACATACATACAAATAGATTAAATAAACAACCAGATCTCAACATCAAGATTCCACTAGTAGCCAGGCTCGGTGGCTCAGCCTGTAATCCCGCGCCTTGGGAGGCTGAGGTGAGTGGATTGCCTGAGCCCACGGGTTCAAGACCCGCCTGGGCAACTTGGTGAGACCTCATCTCTACAATAAATCAAAAATTAGCTGGGCGTGGTAGCGCGCGCCTGTAGTTCCAGCTACTTGGAAGGCTGAGGCAGAAGGATCGCTGGAGCCCAGCAGGTCGAGGCTGCGGTGGCCGGGAGCGGCCACTGCACTCCAGTCTAGACGACTGAGTGAGACTCCAACTCAAAAAAAAAAAAAGATTCCACTAGTATGTGACAGGCAGGTTTCTGATTTTGTATTTTTTTTTAACAGATGGCCCAACAGCCTGAAATCAGCTAAAACAGTGTGCTGAAGATCCCAGCAAGCTATTAGTACACCAGGAAAAAGCATCCAAAATTAATTATATGGCGAATACCAGGCTGTCTCCTATTGATATCACTTATTCATTAATTCATTCACTGAAACATGCACTGAGTACCTACTACGTAGAAGACACGGACTTCCCATCTGATTGAGAGTTGCACCAAAAAATAAAGAAGAGTGCTGCAAGCCTTGAGTTCTCATTTTGCCACATACCCACCAGAGTAAGCCCAAATAAAATCTTCAAAGTTTAATTTTCTCTTCTATAAAATGAGGACAATGCCTGCTCTACCCATCTTATAAGATGGTCACAGTATAAAATGAGCCAATGTAAAAAGGCCCATGACTGGGCACAATGGCTCATGCCTGTAATCCCAGAACTTTGGGAGGCCAAGGCAGGAAAACTGCTTAAGGCCAGGAGTTCGTGACCGGCCTGGGCAACATAGTGAGACCTTGTCTCCACAAAAATAAAAAAAATTAGCTGGGTGTGGTGGTGCATGCCTGTAATCCCAGATACTGAAGAGTCTGAGACAGAAGGATCACCTGGGCCTAGGAAGTAGAGGCTGCGGTGAGCCGTGATTGTGGCTGCACTCACTCCAGCATGAGC